TGAGGTCTCATCAAGTTGCCCAGGCGGGTCTCGAACCCACGGGCTCAGGCAATCCACTCATCTCAACCTCCCAGAGCGCGGGATTACAGGCTGAGCCACCGAGCCCGGCTGAAACTGTGTATTCTTACATGTTTAAGCTTCAGTTACCCTCAAAGTACTTTCTGTTCGATGCTGTATATCTATCAAGATGCTTTTTCTACTGCTTAGAACACTTTTTGCACTCACCAATTTGGATGCCTTTTAGTGCTCTGCTGTTTTTTGTTTCACCTCTTCCACATCAGTAAAACTTTCCCTTTGAGGACTTTTTTCATCCCGGGAAACAAAAAAAAGTCACTCAGGGTGAGAACAGGTGAATAGGGAGGGTGGGGTATGGGGGTTATGTTATTTTTGGTCAAAAACTGCTGAATACTTAGTGCAGTGTGGGCAAGTTGTTCATGTAAATCACCCATCATAAAATGGGAAAAAGTGTTGCAAGACTTTCCAAATAAAAAAAATTCATTGAAGCTGAATGCAACCTCTCACAATGCTAACTGGTACGTGATGCTGATGGATTCTTTGTTTTTTTGTTTTGTTTTGTTTTGTTTTGTTTTGAGTTAGAGTCTCACTCTGTCACCCAGACTGGAGTGCAGTGGCCGCTCCCGGCCACCGCAGCCTCGATCCACTGGGCTCCGGCAATCCTTTCACCTCAGCCTTCCAAGTAGCTGGAATTACAGGTGCACGCTACCACACCCAGCTAATTTTTTGATTTATTGTAGAGATGAGGTCTCACCAAGTTGCCCAGGTGGGTCTCGAACCCGTGAGCTCAGGCAATCCACTTACCTCAGCCTCCCAAGGCGTGGGATTACAGGCTGAGCCACCAAGCCCGGCCTCTGATGGATTCTTTTTTTTTTGAGTTGGAGTCTCACTCGGTTGCCCAGACTGGAGTGCAGTGGCCACTCCCGGCCACCGCAGCCTCGACCTGCTGGGCTCCGGCGATTCTTCCAAGTAGCTGGAACTACAGGCGCGCCCTACCACGCCCACCTAGTTTTTTTGATTTATTTTGGAGATGAGGTCTCGCCAAGTTGCCCAGGCGGGTCTCGAACCCTTGGGCTCAGGCAATCCACTCACCTCAGCCTGATGGATTCTTAAAACATGTAGCTAGCAGGGGAAGCTTACTACAAGGGGCCTGCCCTCCAAAAGATATTTCTGGGTTGTTTTTTTGCAGTTTGCCTCATACATATGTGTGTATGTATATATATTTTTTCTACTTTACTTATTTTGGATGGGGTTGGGGATCTCACCTTGTAGCCTAGGCTGGGGTACAATGGCACCATTGGTAATTCATGGCAGCCTCAAACTCTGAGACTCAAGGGATTCTGCCACCTCACCTTCCTGAGTAGCTTGGGCTACAGGTATGCATCAGCATGCCTGGCTAAGGCTTTTAGTTTTTTTGTACAGATCGGGGGGGGCGGTCTCACTGTGTTGCTCAGGCTGGTCTCGAACTCCTGAGCTCAAGTAATCTTCCTACTTCGGCCTTCCAAAGTGCTGGGATTATAAGTGTGAGCCATCGCACCTGGCTTTATATTTTTTATCCTGGGCTTTCTCTGTGTTCTGCAAAACATTTTCAGTTGAAGAGGAGACAAAGTCATAATTTCTTTTTAAAGAAGGGACTAGTCATCTGTTTTCATCTACTTAATATATTTGATGCTTTGTAACAAAGGTTTGAGAACCAGGTTTGGTGGCTTGAGACTGTAGTTCCAGTTATTGGGGAAACTGAGGCGGGAAGATCACTTAAACCAGGAGTCTGAGGCTGCAGTGGGCTATGATTGCACCACCACACTCCAGCCTGGGCAACAGAGTGAGACTGTGTCTCTAAAGAGGAAGGATTGAGATAGAGTGGACCACTGCGGAGAAAAAGGAGATTCTTCTGTTAGAGGAACAGACTGGGAAATAAATTAGCAAGAAAGGGAAATGGTGCTGATGGTACAGATGTATGTGGTTTAAGGGAATTATTTGATACTAGCTGCTCTTTGTGTTGCCGTCCTCTCCTGTTTCAGATTTTCATCAACACCTAATTTAGTAAAAGCTGCTCTCAATTCAGCCTCACTAGTATAAAAATAATGCAAGAACTATGTCTTGAACTTTTAAAAAATTTCCATAGTACTTAGTATGGCATCTCGCTTATGCCATTCAATATTTTCTTTAAATTGATTGATGTTTTTAATAGCCCTTATCCACTTATAGGCCTTTCAAAACAATATTCTATTTTTTCTCTCTAATAACTGCTGCATGACCCTGTCATCTGGTACCAGCTCAGTAACCACAATGGCATACTAATTAGGCTTCTCTTTGAGGTCACATCATCTCAGAAGATGGATTACTTTAGAGTCTAGTGGGGAAGAGTATGGAATAAGAGATCTTAAAACTCAGGTTCATTTAGCAAATATTTTGTGAGAACCTATCAAAGCTTCCAGCACATTTTTAGTTGAAGAAAGGGATGACTAAGTGGTTTCATGGAGGAAAGTAGAGTTTGAATTGAGCCTTAGATGTAGGCCAGAATCTCAACAGGCATAGATGAAAGAAGGCATTTGAGGTCAGACAGCAGCCTGAATGAAGGCAGGAGGGGGTGGGGCTTGAGGAGAGTAGGAGCAAGGGGGCGTGACGTTCTTGGAGCTGTGCATCAGGAAAATTACTCTGGCGGAGGTGGAGGCTGCATTAGAGGTGGAGGCTGGGAGACTGATTAGGAATGAGATGGTTGTCAGAGCTCAGGAAAGAGGCAGTAACAGCCTTCACTGGAATGGTGATTGTGAAGATAGAAATGGGAAATGGGTGGAAGAGATTGTGCTGATAAGATCTATGGGAGTCTGCAGTCACTAGACACTGCCAGGGGAGTGGGGGACATGTAACAACACAAAGGGTACCAGTTCTAAACCAGGGGAAGTGAGGTGCAATTGAGGCCCAGACTTCACCTGCACACAGCCTACTTGTTTAGCTAATCCTGATTGTACCTCATATCTCTATAAAAATAAATGAAAAGACCTATAGAAGGAGGCAGTTGATAAGATGTGGAGGCAGAGGGAAGTATCTGAGGTTTAGAGTGTTGGTAACTAGTGCCTGTTATTTGTGTTTCTCCGTCTGTAAAATAGGAATTTAAGTGTCTTTATCCTTGTGGGATTGGGGATAAATTGAGATGCAAATGAAAATATTTTGGGAAGTGATTATGCCAAAAAATCCCCCTAACCCAAATTATTTATTTTTGCAGATATCCTTATTTCATAAGCAAATTTTTATCTTCCTATTGATTTCTTTTTTTTTTTTTTGAGTTAGAGTCTCACTCCGTCCGCCGACTGGAGTGCAGTGGGCGCTCCTGGCCACCGCTGGCCATCCAGCCTCGACCTGCTGGGCTCCGGCGATCCTTCGCCTCAGCCTTCCAAGTAGCTGGAACTACAGGCACGCGATACCACGCCTGGCTAATTTTTGATTTATTATAGAGATGAGGTCTCACCAAGTTGCCCAGGCAGGTCTCGAACCCGCGGGCTCAGGCAATCCACTCACCTTAGCCTCCCAAAGTGCTGGGATTACAGACTGAGCCACCGAGCCCGGCTCCTATTGATTTCTACGATAAAATGGATATACATTTTATGCCTCCCCTCCAAATTTCTATCTTGGAATGTTGGCTTTTGAGGAACTAAAGTGGCTCAGTGTGTTCTAGAATCTTGTTTGTGTATCTACCCTAGCATCTGTTCTCTTAAATCCTTAGGCATTCCTCCCATGCCCAAGTATCCCCTGACTCCTTACTCTTATTTATTTATTTATTTTTGAGTTGGAGTCTCACTCTG